GCTGCTCTCCAACTCAGCTCTGTACTGTTTTCTACAGTGACTGGTCTGCTTAGATTGTTTTTGTCTCCACTGAAATCAAATTTTTTTTTTTTAAATCCTCATCCGAGGATTATTTTTTTCCATTTTTATTCGGATAGAGTGGGAGGGAGGGAGACAGACAGACAGACAGACATTGACGTGAGAGAGACACATTACTGGCTGCCTCTTGCATGACCTCCACCAGGGCTAGGAACCGAACCGCAACCGAGGTACGTGCCCTTGACCGGAATCTAACCTGTGCCTCTTTTGTCCGCAGGCCCAGGCTCTAACCACTGGGCAAAGCGGCCAAGGCGCCACTGGATTCAATTTTGATAAACTATTTCTCTGGACAATGATCTATTTTCATCTAGGCTTTCAAACTGATTTACATAGAAGTACACAAATCAATTTCTTATTATTTGAAAGGTGTTTTTTTTTTTTACCTGTTATCTTCCCTGATCCTTACAAACTACAGGCACTGCACATATCTTTATAGATGTTCTTTCAAGAGCCAAATTATGGCCCTGGCTGGTTTTGCTCAGTGGTTAGAGCATCGGCCCGGGGACCAAGGAGTCGCGGGTTCGATTCCCATCAAGGGCACCCACCTCAGCTGCAGTTCGTCCTCCTCCCTGGCTGGGGACGTGTGGGAGGCAGCCACTCAATGTGTCCCTTTCACGTCAATGTTTCTCTCTCTCTCTCTCTTCCTCTCTCTCCCTCCCGCTCTGTCTGAACAAGAAATGGAAAAGTGTCCTCAGGTGAGGATACAAATAATAATAATAAAGATCCAAATTATGAATCCCTGTGTGTGTCATCGTGCTATGGAACAGACGTGTTTCTGTCTGTCTAGCTAGCTGTGCATCTGCCCATCTGCCCAGTTCTCTCCATCCAGGTGTGTATTCCTCGGGGGGAGGGCAGGGACAGCTGACATCGCGTTCCTGATACAGGAGAGAGTTGGCCGGGCTGTCCAGCTCCTTATCTTCTGCCTTGGGCTAGCAGCATGATACCATCTTACAGCCTGCAGAGAGGCGCCAGAGACTCCAGGAGACGTGGGTCCTCCTGCCATTGGCAGCGGCAGAGTCACACCAGGAGCCGCCCACCCGCGGAATGCTCCTTACGTGAGGCAGCAGCCTGTTCGCGGCGAGGCGCCAAGTCGAGGTTGTGTTACTGCAGCTGACCACATTCCTAGCTGACAGGGAAAAGAGGCAAAACCCGAAAAGTGTCCTTGTTCCTCGTATATGAATGTCTAAACCCAGGGACATTATGGTGGAGCCACCAAACTACCCAACTCCAGAACAGGAGCCTGGGGAGCAATTACTCAGGTGAAGTGCTTATGGCAACGGCCTTTCAGTGTGGCCATTGTGAAAAGAGTAATTTGCCTGAACGATTCACAGGGTTGCCGATGTAATTTACCTTTTTCGTTGCTGTAGGTGGGATACAGGTTGAATACATCTTGCACAGATAATATGGTACATCCTCATAGGGTTTCAAAATGATTCAATGAGTCTGGCTGGTGTGGCTCAGTGGTTGAGCATCGACCCACGCACCAAGAGGTGGCCGGTTCGATTCCTAGTCAGGGCACGGGCCCTGGTTGTGGGCCAAATCCCCAGTGGGGGGCGTGCAGGAGGCAGCCAATCGATATCCGCTCTCATTGATGTTTCTCTCTCCCTAAAAAATCAACAAAAAAAATTTTTTTAATATAGAAAATAATTTAAAAAATGATAAAATAAGACAGTCCATATCAAGGGCCTAGGACAGTTCTTGGCACATCGCAAAGTGCCATGTTAACTACAGTTAATAATAATATGTTATAATAATAATATATATATATAATTATACATAATAATAAATGTTAACTACAGTATAATGCTTTAATAATTGATATTAGTTGGAAATAGTGCCAGCTAACTGTACTTGGACAGCTAGCCCTTTCTCATCTTTGGACTCCCATAAGAAAAGTCACCTCCTCCCAGAGGCCCTCCTGGCTACTCTATCTCAAGTGGCATCCCTCCCCAGGTATCTCCCATTCCCCACGATCCCCATCTCATTTATGAGCTTGGGCACCGTGTCACCATCTGTAGTTCTTTGGATTATTTATGTGGTTAAAACATGTCTCCCTCAACAGTATAAACGCCACGAAAGCAGAACTCCCAGTGGGTCCCTCTTCTCTCTACATTTGTTGAATTATAAGATAACCAAAAGTGCAAAAACATACACATTATGGTAAAACAATGTTACTTCACATAGAAGCGGCATTTTTAAATGTAATTTTGCTCATATTTAAATAAAACCGAAGGTGGTTAAAATTCTGCCCAATTCTAGGCCCTCATCACGTCAGGCCTCATCGGGGAACTTAGTGGTTTACTACTACTATTATTATTATTACTATTATTATTATTTCTCTAAAAGGTCAATGAATAGTTATTTATCATAGTTGGCCTGCACACCTTTATAAACTGTGGCAAGCATTGTTACCTTTAGAAAAATATGTTGTTTTGCATTTGGAAAAAGATAAAAAATTCTGCTAAAAACCATGGAAACCAATGTCTGCTTGCAGTCAAAGATTTAGATGTAATTCTAAATCATTTTTTGACTTTCTGAAGATCCTAAAATGTGAATTTGAACGTAGCCCTATGAAAGTTTGGTCTACATAAAAATAAATAAATAAATAAAGAGAGGATAGAAGATAGGAAAAAAAAAGGAAGGGGAAATGAACATGGCAATGTTTTAGAGAGAAGGGATGGATGTAAGGAACGGAAGGGACCCTCAGTCACCCCTGAGGGGCTGGAGGTGGCCCCTTGGCAGCCCTCTGATTGGCCGGAAGGCAGGGGTAGCTCCAAGGCCAAGCTCTGGGAGAAGGGGGCCGCTCCCCCCTCTGACACCTACCCACCTACCCCATCATCGCCTCGGAATATGGAACCCGAGGAGCCCTGTGGGACTGCCGCTTGGGGTCACAGGTCATGACTGCTAACAACGGGCCTCCCGGCGGGAACACCAGGAGCCTTTTCCTCCTCTCTTCTGTCTCTGCTAAAACGAGTTTGCAGGCCATGTCCCTGCTCACCAGCCACGTCTCCGGGAGCAAGTTCCTCGGGTCTCGCTCGGCCCCCCCTTCCTCGTCGGGGAAGTGGCAGTCACAGCTGAAGCCACGCCGCTGGCCGCTGGGCCCCTAGTGGGTGACTTTATTCTCTCCTAGAATTTCTCACAAAGTTTTGACTAGTGCTGGGGGTGGGGAGGAGGTTCTGGGGTGTCATTTTCTTGTTACAACTGCCTGGGACTTTGTTTTCTGATTGTGGTGGATATGTGGTAGTGCTGTGGAAATCTTATGTAGATTATGCAGAGAAGGTTCCAGAATTTCTCTGTAGAAGTGGTACAGGCGGCCATATTGAAAGGGGCTAGACGGTGTGGAGCCTGTTTTGGGGTAGCACAGCCCTCCCTCGGGTGGGGGTTTGTAGGGGGGGGCCGGTTACACTTCATAGCCTGTCCCAGGTGTTAATGAACTCTGTTTATTTGGAGTACTTTATGGGACTGCGGGAATTCATGGGCTGGCTTCTGGCTATATTTGCATAGTAAGCACTTATGCGGACTATGTGTTAATTTGAGGGAGATTTTGAGGGTTGTTTCGTAACTAGGTCTCTCCAGTGAGCACATAATTTTTATGTGGACTGACTGTTACATAGGAAGCTTTGGGGAGGTTTATGGAGATGGTGTATTTAGTACTTTTTCTGCCTTCCGTGGGGCTCATTTCACTCTATGTTTAAGTTAGCTGGGATCCGTTTGATTTGGAAAACAGGAAGTGGATTTTTGGCCTGAGTTATAGAATCAACTGGGTCAACATTCCATCAGGCGGGTTTCAGAGGTGCACTGGTGGACGCTGGGGGGTTTCAGAAGGTGCAGTGGTTGATGCTGTGGCTCCCATCCGTCCGGGAAGCCATGCCATGGGTGACCACGTGCTGAAGGGATGACCCTGGGGATGAAGGACCAGGGAGCCCAAGTGGACCTCAGGTCCAAGCAGCAACCCATCACGGCTTCACAGGGCCCATGCGTGCTGACATCCACCCCCTCCCAACAATGGCATGTTCTATTTGTATTTTATTTGTGACTGGGGTCCCATGTTTCCCCCAATGTTACTTGTTTTTATTTATTTATTCTTTAGGTACATGCCCCTAGCGGGAACCAAACCCGAGACTCTCCGGTCCGCAGGCCAACGCTCCAACCGCTGAGCCGAAATGGCCAGGGCTGTTACTTTTTTTAAAAAGTAAATTGCTTGTTCATGTACTCTGCCCATTTTTGCGATGGGTTTGCTTATTAATTCTTAAGAGCTTCTTGCTTATTCGAGAAATTACCCCTTTGTTACAGATCTTTACCCAGTCCCCAGCCCCATTCCTATTTTGTTTTGTGTGATTTTAATTTTTGTATGGTCTTCCCAACCTCCCCCCTTAGGGCTTTTGGATCTTGGGTCTCCTTAAGAGTCATAATCTTTAAACCAAGGTTTTAATTGTAAAAATAGTCATTTTTGAAGGACCTTTTTCTATTTAAACCTGTGACTGGTTCACGTGTGTATGGATCAGGTGGGAACCCACCTTAAAAATGTCCCCCAATAGCTAGCTAGTTGTTTCAACGCCACTCCGGTTTATTGGCTAGCTCTTGGTACTCTGCCTGTTTGGGGGAGACTCTGGGTCAACGGAGACACTGGAGTGTAAGCTGGTACACTCTTTGGATAGGGCAGCCAAGATGAAGTGTAGAATTCTTGAGGGGCCCCCTGGTTTTTGTGGGGCGTGGATTTTGAGGAGGATGGGGTGGGTCTTGTCTGCAAACTGCCTTCAGAAACGCAAAATTAGGTCAAGAAAGTGGCGAGGTTTTTATACCCACTTATATAACCGTGGGGTCTTGTCACCTGAACTCGGACCCTCCCAACTCTTCACGCCCTCGCCGCCGTGAGCCGCGGTGTTGGCTCGAGACCGCAAGCAAGCCAAAGGAGTTGAAAACTTTGCTCACATTTAATTTTTATTGATTTTTTTAAATGCTGCACAAGACAATATTGAATTCATTTAATTCATTTAATTCTTTTATTTCTTTATTTCTGTTTGCTGCTGTTATTTTAATTACTGAAAGAGAGAGGGAACCATTTTGGCCTTTTTTCTTTATCTTTATCTGTATCTGAAGGCCGCCTTAAGCTTTCTAAATTTGGAATATTTAAGCAAGCTGAGAGGGAAGAGGGGTTTCGCAAAATCACTCAAAGGGGAAGGATAGGTTGCCTTGTCAATCATGCCCTATGGTGGGTGATTAACTGCGTGTACAATTACATTTTGCTTTTAATTAATTGTGCTTAAGGCTTTAATTAAATTTGGGGGTTCCCTTCTTAGAGCAGCTCATACTGACGGAGGTGCATGCGCTGGATGATGTCGCGGCAGTCATTGAACACGCGGCGGATGTTCTCGGTGTCCACGGCGCAGGTGAAGTGGGGGTAGCAGTAGTGACGCCCATCTCCACTGGCAGTGCTGATTCTCTGCACAGACAGAGAAACGAGGTCAGTGCCTCCTCTCTGGAAACTTCCCCCCGAGGACCCTTGACCAGCTACGGATGTTACGTCAGAACCGAACTTAAAGGGGCACAAAAGCTAACATCCCCACGGGTGACCCATGAAACGAAACTGAAATACTGGCTCGTTTAATCCCCAAATACAGAATTCGGTCAATTTCCATCCCTGAAAATAAAAGCAATCATAGAGAGAGTCTTTCCTCACCAGAAACTCGTCGCGGATGAAGTACTTGGCCCGAGTCACGCGTGGGTCCTCTCCAGGCTCGGGAGTAGCTGAGGAGAATAGGAATTACTTGGTTACTTAAGGTAACTGAAAGAATAGAACTTACATTGCTGCCCCCTAACCTCTGGGGTTTCTCCAAATGCAAATGACTGCAAATAAGAATTTCTTGCTTCCCCAACAGATCCTTTATAGTGGGGGGTGGGGGGGCAAGTTTTGCTCTTAGAAGTTGTTCATGTAGGTGATTTTTAAAATTTAGAAATTCACATATTTGCGACTGTATATATAGAACTAACGAGCTGGAATGTGTGCCAATTAACTGCAGGTCATACATACCATCCTCAGGAGTAGTGTAGCGAGCAAATTCTGGAAAGTAGTCCTCAATTTTCGATTTTCCAGCAAGGACTTTCTCAGCGAGCAGGTCTTGCTTGTTGAGGAACAGAATCACAGAGATGGTGCGCAGCCATCTAACAAAGAGGGAAGCAGAGTTAAAGGCCAAGAAAAGAGTATTTCTTCTGCAGGGGGCTTGAGATGCTTGCACAAGGACTTGGATAAGATTCTGTTCTATAACAGGGCAAATACAGAGGCTGGACATTATTCCTAGGCCTCCTGGGCCAGTGGCCTGGAGAGAACCTGAGGGTCACTCCACCAACCTGTTGTTCCAGATGCTCTTGAAGAGGTTCAGGGCCTCCTGCAGACGGTTGGTCTGGTTGTCCTCCCGAATGACCATGTTGTAGCTGCTGCTGGCAACCACGAAGATGATGGCAGTCACATCTTCAGCACAAGAAAGCAAAGGCAACGTGTGTTAGAAACAAAAACGATCTTTCACAGTTAAAAAAGCACAATGTCCTAAAGCAAGAGAGACGCCCACGGCTTCCATACCATTGAAGCATTGGATCCATTTGCGGCGTTCGTCGCGCTGGCCACCAACATCAAACATGCTGCGGGAGAAAGGACACCTGGTCACTCCAAAGGGCGACCACGGATCCACCACGCTAATTGCCAGAGGGAACATCAAGATACCATTATCTGTGTTTCAGAAAGGGAACCATTCACTTACTGGAAGTTGACTTTGTCCACCTGGAACTTGGTCTCAAAGATTCCAGAAGTCAGGACGCGGCAGCGAAGCAGGTCCTAAAACAAAACCAAGGTCAGTGGATGTTCACCGAAACCAACCGAAATATGAGCAACCGCCCATCTAGGGCAAACGTCTCGACAAGCCCGAGAGCTTCTGCGTACCTGATCGCTGGGGACGTAGTCGGCCTGCTTGATGACGTCAATCTTGTCCAGAAAGCTGGGAGGGAATGAAAGACACACGGGGGTGTTCAGTATCGTGCCCGTTTGCCCAATACTCCCGCCCTTCTACCAAGTCCAGTGAATGGAAAGGGTCACGCCACAGGAGCAACGAGAATTCCGCTCGTGTTGGTTACCCCTGTGACTTGAAGCTTGTGCCTCAGAGCGTTTAGGCCCCACAGAATTTAAGATAAATATACGTGACCTACAGTAGATCTAGGAACCAGGACTGGGCTCCCAGGACCCCTGGCCAACAGGTACCATCCGAAGTCGGGCCTATCAGATTTAGTGCCATCGATAATGACTAAGGAAAACATTTTAAATGTGAAATCTATGGCTTCTACTGAAATGGCGGGCAGTCTGCGAACTGTATGCTTTGAGTCTCTGCGTTTGGATTTCCCCCGCGAGGGACGAACAGAAGGAGGTGTCTGAGCGAGGTAGAGGGATTCCTTCCTTCTGCCTTTGAAGAATCTCCCTCATCAAAGAGAACGAGAGCCCGGCCCTCAGGGGCCCCCTGTGCCCTGAGCACCCGAACAGGAAGCACACGCAGCGTTCCCTTCCTGCCTGTTGGGTCCATGAAACAGAACAGCCCAGATACGAAATGTGTCATTTCAAAAACACCTCGGGGCCGCCCAGGTTGCGGGTGCTGACATGGAACAGGCCCGGGGGGCTGGGGTCTCGGGGACTCCCACTGATGGCCCCAAGGCCTGACCCGGAAAACTCCTACCTCCTCTCTTCCGGGTTGAACTTTTGTGTTGCTCGACTAGACACACCATCAGGAGGAGTAACTTTTGGGAGACAGGGGTAAGTTAACATAGGAAATCAACGTGGAACCCAGCTTTGGGGGCGGGGAGGGGCGGGGAGGGGCGGGTGGAAGGCTTTGAGTGGGCAATCAGAAAATACTAAAAGAAGTTCTGTAAGTTTCCCCCTTCCTTGTCACCAGTTCGAGTGAGTCTGGCTGGGAGGATACACTAACTTGCCCAATCAGTCTTACATTACAGCACCAGTCCAGAAATAGCTCCCCAGCCGCCCTGGCCTCCAGCGCGTTGCCATGGCAACAGAACCACAGTGCTATAAATAGCTCATCAGCACCAAATCTTGTGAGAGAGACAGCTGGAGCCAGGCCAGCCAAACCCCAGCTCAACAAATAAAAATAGGCAGCTTAAGAAATGGGCAAGGTACCAATATCTCAACTTTAACATAAAGGCAGTGAAGCCAGAGAGAGGCTGGGCAGTGCCAAGGCAGGGCTGGGATCCTCTGGCCGGGAAGACATTTTACAAGCCCGGTCCTCTTTTTCCTGAGTTTCTTAAAAGTTTCCATAAACTGTGGGGATGGTGCCACTTCCAGATGAAGTTGGAGTAATTTAATGTTGCATTAAAAAAAGAAAAACTTTCAGATGGCGGAAGATTAAAACACACACACACACACACATAAAAAAAACAAAACACCAAACCAGCCCCAACTGCTATTAATGAAACTGCCCCGCCCTCACCCTCTGGAGCCTCCAAATCCTGTACCTGTCCCCTGACTTGGATCCAGGACACAAACGCAAACAATTCCAGGATTTCCATTTGTTTTGCCTTACTATAATTAGCACTTCCAGCTTTTAGTTCGGACTTTTGAGAAAATCAGGGACTTTGTTGAAGAAGGGGTGGAGGTGGGGGGTCGCAGGGACCGGCCAAGATGGGGCTGTTTTTCTGTCCCTTGTGAAAATATACAAACTTGCTGGTCTCTTAAACACTCTGCACCAGCAAAGCAAGGACCGGTACCCAGGAGGGGCGAGGCATCTGTCATGCTTTCAAATGAGAGCAATGAAATAAAATAGTTTTACATTATCCGAAGTGTGAGAGCTGCCCTGTCTCCCTAAATGCCCGGAGGTCAGGTCCCTTCATTACCTCCAGCGAATCAAGCATGAATACCACCTCATGGCCAGGAGTGATGTTCTGGCCACCAGGCATGAACTGTTTCTATGAAATAATGTCACCCACTGCCAAGTGCAGGAGGCTCTAAGGCAAGGGCTGCGGGCAGGCGGGGCAGCTGGCTGGCCCTGGACAAGGAGGCCTAGGCACGTGACTTGGTCCGGGCTGTGAACGTTTCCTCCCTGCGTGCCCGTGCGGTGTGCTGAGGTGGCAGGTCACTTACTACTGGGCACAGTCGATCAGCTGGTACTCGTTGGAGCGCTCGTAGCAGGCGCGGACTCCCTCGTCCTCCCACAGAGCCTTGGCGTGCTCGTAGAACTCCTGCGGGGCACGAGAAAGCCGTCAGTCGGGGGGCCCTGCGCCCCGCGGCGCCCCGGGGTCTTGGGGGCCCACTGTTCAGCGTGAGTGAGGGTGTCACCCGGGCACAAGGCTCCGAGCCTGCACTACTGCCGGAACCCCGGGAGCATGGGCGTTGGTCGCCAGGTGGGTACGAGAGAAGGATTAAGGGGACCACAACTCGCGACTTGCCACCCCCCCCCCCGTGGAAATGTAGTCTATCCAGTGAGAGGTGTGGTGTTCCAGTGTGACATGCCCCTGGGATGGGGGGGGTGGTCCAGTGTGACATGCCCCTGGGATGGGGGGGGTGTTCCAGTGTGACATGCCCCTGGGATGGGGGGGTGGTCCAGTGTGACATGCCTCTGGTTTGGGGGGTGGTGTTCCAGTGTGACATGCCCCTGGGATGGGGGGTGGTGTTCCAGTGTGACATGCCCCTGGGATGGGGGGTGGTGGTCCAGTGTGACATGCTCCTGGGATGGGGGCCAAGAGTGACAAGGGCAGGCGACGCTCAGCCACCTTGGGCCCTAATGATGATCGGTCGGGTGTGAACTCTCCGGAGAGCCACCGCGGTGCCCCTGCCCCCCAGGTGAGCCTGTGGACGCCCCCGCCTAGCTGGGGGCGGGGGGCGGGGCGGGGGGCACGCTGGGGGCGGGGCGGGCGAAGCTTACGGGAGGGAAATCGAAGTCGGGCACGTTCATCACGCTCAGAATGTAGTCCACGCGGAACTGGTTCTCGGGGTTGGCCAGCTCCACGGGTGGCACCAGGTTGCTCATGGCGGCCACGATGGTCTGAAAGGGAGTCAGCAAGCGGTCAGGGGGGGCACTGCCTGCGGGGGGGGGGGGGCTAACAGACCGACAGAAAGAACCCGAGCACGTACTTCAATGGCCTCCTTCAGGTTGTTTTTGATGTCCTGCACTTTGGTGGCCTTCTCACTACAGTGGAATGGAAAAGAAAACACAATCATATTGCATCCCGCGGACGGGCAGGGCCACTCGAGTCCAGAACTTCCGAGTAAGCATAGTATTCTGTTCCCGGGGTGCCGAAATAAAGGCGGGCTCAAGCGACCACCGCCCAGCTGCGCCCCGAGGACGCGCGCCATGGGCTGACCAGCAAACGGGCATCTCGACAGTGACAGGCCTACTGTACCAGAGGTTGGGCTCTGCCCGGCGCCCCCGCGGCCGTGGGCTCCTCCGCCAGGCCCTCGCTGCACACTAACGCTTCCTGAGAGGGGGGGAGAAAGCGGCGTGGTTCCGCTTGGGGGCTTCCTGGGTCGCTGGATTGGTGGGCTGAATGGGGTGGTGTGTCCATTAGATCTCAGGGCTTTGTGGCCCTGGCTGTCCACCTATCTAATCATTGTGTGTTTGTCGCCGCGGCCAGCAGCGATGATTGACATGTCTAGTGGTGATGGCAGCGGACACGGACCCCCCAGGGTGGACAGGGAGAGTTAAGATTCTACCCCCAGAAGTCTTTTACGACCTGGGACTTTTGCATTGAGGGGGAGGGAAGGGCAGTGTCCCCCTCTTTAAGCAGAGGTTAAAGGTCTTTAAAATTCTGATTTTAACTTGCACCTATAGAATGGCCTATGTGGGGTGACCCATATCAGTCACTGGTAAAGGCCACCCCCTCCCCGCCACCCCCTGCATAATGTCTGTGTGTCTTTCTAAAACCGTCCTTCATTGTTGGCAGGGCCAGGGCAGATTCTTGAGTCTGTGAATTTTAGGGAAAAGGACCTCTAGCTTGGGGCACACATCATGCCATGCCCACTGCCCAGCCCCGCCCCCGGGGCTTTGTGGGGGCGGTGCTATAAAACCAACACCTGTGGACTAGGCCCTGGGACATGTCCAAGGGGGAAACTGAGGCTGGCAGAGCTTATCTTTCTCTTGCTGGAATTTTTTTTTTTTTTAAATCTCAAGATCCCCCATTTAAAGGCTTCACCTAGTCAGAGTGGTGACCCCTCGGGAGAAGGTGACAGAACATTAACACAGAGGAAACGCAAGGGGTTAAGAACAGCCAGTCTACCTGGGTATTAGTGCAGGTGGGGAAGGAACTGGGGTCAGAGGGCTGGGGCGGGGACACGTGCTCACCTGCCCACAGCCTGCCCCCCAAGAACCTGGTCTTCACGGTTTTAAATCATATTCCCTGGACATGTGCATATTTGAGGGGTGGGCCCTCCTATTCTTAATGAGCTCATATCTCCCCCTTTCAGAACTGACCCTCCTTCCTGTCCAGCTGGCCTTGGAGACCCTGCTTTTATCAGAAGGAACTTGCTCTCATCAGTGGTGGGGTAGCATTTGGGAGTAGGGCAGGACAGATGGGACCAGGAGCCCCCCATAGCTACTTAAGACTGCTGCCCTCTGGGGATCCTGAGCTGTGTCAGTGAGGGGCGGGCTGCACCCCAGGGGGAGTGCCCAGCCTGAGCTGAAGTCTGCTGCTCGCCCCCAGACTCCTAAGGACCCCCTGCGCTGAAGGGACCGGGGTCCTGAGCCACGTGTGCCTCTCCTGCATTGTGGTGTCACTTAAAGCCCCTTCTTGAAATCAGGGTGCCCAGACTCAGGCTCTGCTCTGACGTCATTATGCAGACATCAACATTTTAACAGGCAGTGCTTGATCGCCCCTCATGTTGACTTAGGGATTCAAGCTCGCCTGAGACCCCCATGGGACAAACCCACTCCTGTTCATTAAAAAGAGGCTCCATTTCCAGTCACGAGAGCCGGGAACCTTCCTTTGGTTTTTAGGTCCCACGACAATTACGAGCCACGTCTGGGTACTGAGTTCCCGAATGTACACACAACTGGAGAGAATGATCTCTGGAGACAGGTTCCCTCATTCAGCTCGATTTGGGCCCCAAGTAGTAGTATGATAATTGGAAAAGTTCCCGTCTTAGATATTTTGAGAACGTGTTCAGCACTCATCTACGTATGTGAGTAGATGTGGGAGTGTATCAAGTATAAAACCACCAAAATAGGAACCCGAAATCTAATTCGGGTGTGTAATACTCCAACATAAAATCCTGCCATTGAAGCAATTACTATGCAGATGGAGATTACCCTGGGGGCTGGCAGGTTTAGCATCACCCTCACTATCACTTAATGAACTGAAGGCTGATCATAAAACTCTTAAATTCCTCAGCTGTCTCTAAGGCCAAACTAGGTATCAGATTGTGATGGACTCAAAAATGGGGGCTGGAAGATCTTTGGGATGTTACAGCTCTCCCTCCCCCTAAGCGCCGCTCCCACCCCCCTCGGGAGGGAAGGCTGTGTACTAGGTTTCATTCAGGAATCCATCCCTGTGCTCTTATGGGGACAGACAGACAAAAGAAGAAAGACAGAAGACAGACAGGGACTGCTGAGACATGCAGAGTAGTTTTATTTATCACACGTTAATGCTTGTATTACTGCGGTCAGAGGAGCAGGCAGGTATTAGTAGGGGAGGGGGTCAGACTAGCATCTCACACACAGTTGTTCAGTGAGGACTGGTCACTACTCAATGCCAACTTTTGGTACAGTACACAGACAGTCACTTGTTACACAGATGCCTATTTGGGATGTCACACTACATTTCGAACAATTAAGGATTTTATTTCATTTGTGGTTTAGGGGGATTTTTTTTTTTTTTTGGTTTTGTTGTTTTTAATTTTTTTTGTTGTTTTTTGTTTTTTTTTTTCAGTTATCTTTAGGTTAGGTGGTAGGGCCCCTCCCCCCTCCCCCTCCCCCCCAACAGAATAGTATTCTTATTAGAAGTTCCCAAGAAGGGCAATCCCAGCATGCAAAGGGTGACGGGACATGGCCAGGAAGGAGAGAAACGGGAAGAGAACGGGAACCATCATCTAGGGATAATATACTCTAAAAAAAAAAGATGAACAAACATGTGTCAGTCACTCTGTCCCAACCCCAATCTCCTTTGCCCCTCCCCTCCCAGCCACAGAAGCGATTTCTTGCCCTCGGCTTGGTCAATGGCCCCGCACGGTCTCATGAGAAACTGCCACCCGGTGATGGCTCGCTGAGTGTGTGGGCACAGCGCGAGCGGGTTACCTGGCATGCATGCATGTGTGTTGGCGTGTGATGGGTAGTGGGGATGCAGGAAGCGAAGGAAAAAAACTGATAATGTGTGGAAAAAGATGGATGCCATCGCTCACTTCCTGTCCTGTCCACCAGCTGACACACAGAGCCTCGGATCAAAGTTCCTTCGACAACTTTTAAAAGACCAGAGGCTTTTAGAGATCATTGCTGACAATGCCCCCCCATCAGGTGCTGAGCACTTCCCCCCCAAATTAAAGACTGTGCGGCACCACATATTCTAATGGAGGAACTTTTTCCCAGGGAGGTCTGAAATTTTAAAATCAGACCAACAAGTGGGTGCTGGAATTTAGTCATTTTAAAAACAAGGAGCAGATTCAAATGGGAGGGGTGGGGGGTTTGGGGAACCAAAAGGGAAAACAGCAATTCTCGAAACCCGATCGTCTAACGCTGGGATCTATAGCTTTTCCCCAGCTGGATCTAATTATACTTTAAGGATGGCCAAAAAAATGAAAAAAGAGAAAGGGCTCGCGTCCCCTCCCCGTGCTGTGAGAGGTAATGAAGTGGTTCGTGTGCTGTTGGCAGATGTAAACCGAGATGGATGATGGCCCTTCAATGATTTTTGCTTTCTTCCCGGGGCTCTGCCCTCAGTTTCCCAGTATGATCTTCATGTTTGTGTGTGGAAAAGTTTTTCTGTTTTTGAATGTGCCTACCCATCGCTGTTGCTCCTGGCAGCCTGCGGGTCCTCTTCGCCGCCCCTTTTAAAGAGAGATTGAAAGCTCACCTAATCTGCAAGGCACCGCGTTCCACCGAATCCCCCCCAGCCTGTCTACATCGCTCACAAAGGGCCGTCCCGTGGGCTCTGAGGTCGCCGTTTTGGCTAACTTGGAACCTCTCCTGGGGCTTGGGCCGTGGAGGGGAGAATTCCACACCTTAGCTGCCGCATTAGCAGAGCCCTCTGGAGACGCTGGTCGGGGACAGAAGGGACTGGTAATTATTTTCTTGTGCCTTCACTAAGTGCACCAGGGAGCGGGAGCAGCGCGTGGTCGCGGTTCTTCTGAGAACACGCAGCACCCACGGAGGCTCCTGCTCCCAGACCCACGCCCCAGGGCCGTGTCTGAGCAGGGACACCGCCGGCTTCTGCTCTAACAGTGAGACCTCCCTTCCTGCAGCCCGGCAACTACCTAGACAGCGTTTTTATTTATGAACAGTTGTTCCCCATAAATTGTCATCAATTAAAACCATACCTGGACTTCGAAAACAAAAAAATAAATAAAAATAAAAACATCTCTCAAAAAACTCAGTCTTCACCGCCGGTGGGCACCCCACCCTGAAGGTCGGAGGGGCAGCTCGGCTAAGCGTCTCTGGTTTTGTCATCAATTAGCTCATTAGCTCAGCCAGTGTTAATGGTGCTGTGGTTTCTGGCACCCAATGTAAGGAAGAGTTAGCTAGGCGTTAGGAAAATCCAAATTTGACCTCTATTTCTGAAAGTCAGATGAGAATTACAAGTTACTCTACACAGGGAACCGCCACACAGCAGTGAAGCTGAGCTCAGCCCGGCACTAACAAAGCGCACACTTAGGGGAGGAGGGGGAGACCCCATGCCCCACGCCCCAGTTTCACAGGGAATTCCTGGCCAGGGAGGAAACCGTTTTTGTTGCAATACCACAGTGAGGAGAAAGAAAAAGGAGGCTCCTTGGACAAGATAAAAATAAGGTTTCTAGACTCACACTAAGAATTCCCTGTGTGTCACTTTTGCTAAATTTACCATCCTTGGAGATTACCTAGGGCTTCCTCCACAAAACAGGCACACTGGGCACCTCGCTTCTACTTTTTTTAAAAAAGAAAACAGAAAAGAGCAATTCTGCTTTAAATGCCTGGCCTGCATTATAGACGGGCTCTTTTAGGGAGGAGAAGCCTTTCCCCCAAAATTAAAAAAAAAAATTAGGGCTATCAGCAGAATTAATAAAACTTCGAAGTGAATGATTTCAAGGATGTCCTATATTCTGTCGGACTCGAATTAAGGTAAACATTTTAAAAATGCTAGCCATGTCCAGTTTCAATCAAAATATTTATCTAGGGTCCACGGTCGGGTTCGTTTTGGTTAACTGGCCTTGTGAAGAAGGTCTCCGTTCGGTTGCAGGGGGGACATTATGCAAGAGGTTTTCTTTAAGTGACAAATGTACAGAGCTGGACGGCTGGCTCCGGTTCCTGTTTATTGACTGATGGCCATCTCTGGTGGTGGGACTTTACTGAAGGGTGTAAGGAATTAAGAACTTCGGAACCGGTTTTTGCCACGAGAAGGCGACTTGTTTGATTAACGGCATGTATGGGGCGTATGGACAACTCAGCGGGTGTCAGCCATAAAGCTGGCAGAATAGCCCACCTTTCTGAATTCACGGTTCGAGCCTAAAAATCACTCTAAACTAAAATGTCCATTTGTATGATGCCCCCCTCCACTGTTTGATCTAAGAAATTCTAGAATTTTCCATAAAGAGCTACAGGTCTTTAACCTCTGAAAGGTGATAAAATTCACCTTTGTTTCCCTGATACTGGGAGCGTGGTGCGGGGGGATAGTAGGGCTTTTTTACTGAATTGTGTGTGTGTGTGTAACAATGAATCTACACCACCTTGACTCGGTCTCCCCTTCCAAAACTAACGGGAATGTAACTGAGGGATAATTTTCTCTAGAATCCAGCTTTAGGAAGGGGATGAAATCACTAACCAGCTAGTAATGGCAAACCAGTGCCCTCATACCAGGAAGACAAAGGCTGGTCAACTTAGCTGGGGTCTGGGGGGTGGGAGGGGGTGGCAAATCCCCAACTGGAGGGAGGACTGGCCGGCTGAGTCCCATGTGGAAGGCTGGACCCTAGGTTTATCTCTCCATCCCTAACAGATTCTCTTTTCCTCTTTATTCTCACTGCGGTATCGTCACAATATACCAAGACGCCTGGAAGGACGTTTCAAAGGCAAAAGTGCCCCCTCGATCTGGCCAAAAGCACCTCATTCCCAGCCTTTCCATCATGTGAATGTCTCTTTTCCGTTTCTTCAGGCAAGACTATTGATTTTTTAAAAGGGAAACAATGATTTGCCCGTAATATTAATTCCGGGGGGGGGGTAGGGGGGAGATGAGTAATTATTAACAAGGGCTGCCTCTTCCAACTTTGTGTTGTGAGACGGTGATTGAAACACTGTTTCCCTAATAGTTTAAAACATCCTGCCGGGTGCACTGCACTGCGCTGAAATCTGCTGGGGGGGCTCCCTGCAGTGGTCAAGTGTCGCCTGACTCCGGGGGTGGCTTCAACCCGTGTCAGCCATGTTGGGGACCCACTGCACCAAAGCCCGCAGCAGACCTGTCCTGGGACCAGCCAGGCACTATGTCCCCCCGGGGGGAGGGGAGATGTTTTCTTTACAAGAAGACTGGTGCTTTCCTGTTATGACTTATTATTTGTTGCTGCACCAAATATTAAAAGGAGGGTGAAAAAAAAAATCCCTCAAGAGCTCTCCCCAGAGTTTGCTCATCTGTAGGCTGAAAAATGAAGTGAAAATTGGCTGCCCCGTGCCCCAAACTACCTAAACTTCCTAAAGGTTAGTAGCAAGTGCGCTCCTGTCCCTGGGCCTGGCCCGGCTTTGACACTTACTCTCCATTAAACCCATTAACATGCAGGATCCTCATCTGCTTCACAATGGTGCTTTTACCAGACTCTCCAGCGCCTAGAAAATGAAAGCAAGTCTCAGGTTATGAAGGAGGCATTTTGCACACTTTGGGCAGCGGGAGGGCTGCTGTGTTTTCCACAGAAGCAACACGCAAGGGAAACACACAAACAAAGAACAGACTTGCAATTTTCCTTGACATGTCGACGCATCAAAAACGAAAGACATGTCCCACACGGTGTCCCCGCAGTATTTCACCATTAGAATAACAAACAAGAATTAAAGGTTTTTGCTGTGTTCAGGTTTTGTTTTGTCTTTAGGCGGTTTTAACATGTGAGGGGTGGGGAAGCAAAGAGGGGGGGGAGAAGAAATGATGCGATTTTGTCATGGGGGGGGGGTGTTGAAGTTCCAACTGTGAAACTGAAGCCCTGAAACCTGGGGATTGCCTGGTAAATTACACGTGAATGCATGGGGCCACGAAATTCATTGTTTGTCAGCTGTTTCATGGTTAAAATACCCAGGATCCACCAACAATGCCCCACACTGCAGCCTGCAGACCACGTTCTGACGCAGCGCTCACCTCCCAAACACTTTCTGGGCAGGTTTCTCTCCCCTCGGGCTACTGCAAAGTCAGCCCCTCAAACTGCAACATGGCATTTTACCCAATCACCCACCCTCCTGCCCCTGCAAATTCTCTCTGGATTCAACAACCGGGTTATGGGGGTGGAGGAGAGGACCACCAATTTTGTCATCTTCTGGAAAAACGTATTTGAATTATCAAATCTAGTGCTTGAGAACAACCTCATTAACATGCAGCAACTGGAAGAGTTAAAAAGGACCAGACTTTAATCATAAGGAAAAATATTCCTGGAAACCACTGTATTTTCAAAGATGTCAAGCCCTCCCCAACTACAAGAAAGGGGCATATGCCTCCATTTTAAATCACCTTACATTTGTAAAAACATTTCCAAGCTAGGAGGAGGATTGCTGTTTTTTTACTTTATTTTTGGAAATGCATGTTCTCCCACAAATAATGCTTGTGGGAACTATTTTTTGCCCTCCTCTCATACAAACTTGTTTGGTTTTTTTGTTTGTTTGTTTTTTTTTTACCCCCGCCCCACTTTTAATTTTCTTAATTGTTTTGTTTTACTTCCCAGAGAGCAAAGCTTTTCCTCCTTCTCTTGCCTTTTCACAAGGCTGTAATCAATACCTGCAAAAGTTAAAATTGGTTTCCACAGAAACATTGATTTCAAAGCAAACACTCTATCTTCATGAGCCAAACTCTCATAAATTAAAATATGAAAGGCAGTATTAGGAGATTCCATGAGGAGAAAACATATTAATCAGAATCTCTAATAGGCTTATTTCAGGGGTCAGGGGGTGCAATACTTCCTTTCAGAGGCAAACAGATCTGTGCCTCAGTTTCCACATACATGAAAATCGGAGAACTGGGCTGAAAAATTGCTGCCAAGATATTTTGTGGCACTGTAATCTGCTCAATTTTTATGCATTAAATTAGGGTGGATTGAAAAGAACCTGGGGCATCATTTTTCCTTTCTTTGGGGGGGGGTGCAGCATTATTTGGCAAGAGTCACCATTTAAAAATGGAAATGTATTACACTGGTTTGGGCTGCACACACCTGTGCCAGAGGCTATCCATAAATTGTGATAAAATGTAGCCATCTAGACTGGGACACCTGGGGAAGGTTAGCCCAGAGTGATGCAAGGTGTGCTCAGAGTAACAGTCTCAAATTAGTGGAGACTGTGATTACTGCACAAAGGTGTTTGAAATTTAAGGTACCATTAGCATCACCCTTGTTTTAAATTAGTATTCCGCTAACAAGATAGCATTCCAAGGAAAAGATTCTAGACTTTTCCAGGCTCATACTTTGAAATCAAATTATATGCATATTATTATTCATATAATACAATTCCACCTTTAGACGTTTTAGATAAGACCTCCACGTATATATCGTTTAATTACTGAAATTGGAAATGAATAAATACCAAAGAGACTTATTTTCACTTAGTAATTTTCTGCTTTTACATAAACCTGGACCCAGAAGAACAAAGACATACCCCATCCAAACAAGCAAAGCAAACGCCACAAAGAAAAGCATCCTTTACACTTTATTCTTTATAACTAAGCCGTTTTGTTGAAGTGTGACCACAAACTAGGTCTTAACCTAGCAAATTCACCAATTAACTCAGACAGCCAAATGACTGAGGAAGTGGAAGACTTCCATACTAATTAATGCTTGTATAATTCTTCTGGTCATTTCAATAATTTCTTTTATGCTTTTGTTTTATTTTACTTTTTCTCCCCCAAAGCAGCACCTTTAAGAAAAAGGGAGGAAAGGTCATCCTCTTGTAGTTAATCACGCCCCCCCCCCCTTTTTGGCCAAAGTAAAAACCGCAATCAAAAGAGAAAACCCAGACCCAAACAACTAAATGTCACTTGACAAACAACTAATTAACGTCTTTTCATCTCCTTCCACCTGGAAAAAAGGGCTTCTCCTTAGAGCGCATTCGATCCCCCATCCCACCTTGAAAAGGACAAAAAACGCCATTTCCAGACCAAGAAGCCATTTACAGACAAATGTCATTTTCCAGTTCTGATTTGTGAATGTCTTTTTTTCCCCCCATTTTTTTTCACAAAGCGCTCTCAATGTGGCCGACTAACAGGAAAATGTGTGTGTTAAATGGTTTATTGGGAGGGGGGCGCTGCTGCGGGGTGGGGGGTGAGGGCAGCTGCTACAATTAATTCTCTTCTTTGCTTTTCAAAAAGCCTGCATGTCTGGAAGGGGAAAAAAAGGTCATACTGTAAAAATGACGTGTCATTTGGCTTCACTGGGCACTTAGCGTACTAACTCCATTTTTTTTTTTTTTTTTTTTGCTCTTATTTTATTTGATTCTCCTTCCCTTCCACCGCCGGCCCGGCCCGGGACACGTCTGTTCCGCGCACACAGTGTGTCCTGCCCGAAACGCACTAAGTCGCGCCCAGCGGCCGCCGCGCTCCCTCCTCCCCCACCCCCTACTCCGGCGCCACGACTCGCCCGCGCCCCCTCCCCCTCACTGCACCACCTTTGCCACTCCGATCCCTTCCGAGGGGCTGATGTCACCCGCCCCCCCCCTCGGCCACTTCCCCCGCCAAAGTCTCTCCTAGGCGAAGGCCCCTCAGCCACCGCGGCGCCCCCCCGACCCCCTCCCCTTCTGGCCCCTCTTTTTTCTCCCCTTCCCTCTCTGAACAAATCACACACCCCACGGAGGCGGGTCCCCTCCCTCTGCCCGCCACCCCATTTCCTGTCCCCGAAACCCTCTTTTTGTCGCAGTCTCCCGAGCCCGATGGGGCTCCCCTTCCCCCTCCCCAACAAGCACCCAAGCCCCTGGCGTCGTGTAGGCCTCGCGGAAAAACAGAGAGGCGAGAGCGAGGGGGAAGGGCAGAGAAAGAGAGAGGGAGAGCGCCGGCCAAGGGAGGAGGACCCGCGCCCACGTCGCCACGGCCCCCTGCCCCATTTTGAGTCCCCGCCCGGTCGAATCTGCGCCCTGGGGTCCCCCTTCCGGCCTCGCCCCCCAGAGACAGAGCCCGCGAGCGGGCAGCGGGCTCGGGAGCGCGCGCCCGGGGCGGGGGGCGGGCTCGGCGCGCGCGGCCTGCGGGGCGCCCCGAGGGGCCCCGAGCCGGGCCGGGGCCGGCGCCCCCCGCCCCGCCCTTACCCAGCAGCAGCAGGCGGTGCGTGGCCCGGTAGACCTGCTTGTCCTTCTGCAGCTGCTTCTCGATCTTTTTGTTGGCCTCGCGCTGCGCCTTCTCCTCGTTGCGCTGGTCCTCGGTCTTACTGTTTCCGAGACAGCCCATGGCGGCGGCGGCGGGGCACGGGGCGCGGCCGGGCTGCGGCGGCGGCGGGTCGGGCGCGGGCGGCCTCAAACGGGCCGGGAGGGCCGGGGCAGCGCCGGGCGGGCGGGCCGGGCGCGGGCTCGGCTCCTCGGGGAGGAGCGCGCGGGGCGGACTGCGAGCCGCACGGGGAGGGTGGTGTCGGTCGGACCGAGGGGAGCGCGCCGTTCCCCGCCCCTTGAGCCGGAGCCGAAGGGGCTGATGGCCGCTCCGGGCCGAGGCGACCAGAGCAGGAGCTGCGGGAGCTGCTGCCGCCGCTGCCGCCGCTGCCGCTCTTATTGCCTCGGCCCGGGCCCGCCGCCCCTACCCAAAAGGGCCCCGGCGGGCGGGGGGAGGCGGGGGGGAGGAGGAGGCGGCGGCGGCGAGGGGGGTGGAAGAAGGAGGAGGAGGGATGAGGAGCAGCCGCGGCAGCGGCCGCGGCGGCGGGGAGGGCGGGAGCTGGCGGAGGGAGGCGCCCCCCGGGTGCCCGGGAAGGGGGGTCCCTCCGCCGGCGCCCGGCCCGGAACGGGACAGGGACAGGCCGGGGAGCCGCCCCCTCGCCCCCCCTGGCTCGGGCCCCAGCCGGGCCGGCTGCGGGGGGAGAGGGGGCGGCTCCGAGCCAGTGACGACCCCTCGCACGACGCCAACGCTCCACCCCCCAGGCCGCCGCCCCCCTCCTCCCGCGGGCGCCGCCGAGGGGCCGGGGTGGGCGGAAGGGGAGGGAGCGCGAGCCCGAGCCCGGACTTCGGAAAATTTTCGAAAAGAAGAGAGAGTCACAGAGAGAGCCAGAGAGCAGGGAGTGTGGAAAAAGCGAGGCTAGCACGAACCAAAGGACAGAGCAACCGAAAAGGAAAATGTGTCCACATACACACACAAAGACTTAATAAAACTCCACACTACACAGCGATGGTGGTGTCTGGTGGTGGTGGGGGGCTGGGGGGCAAGGGGGGCGGACTAGATGAGCCTCTCATCGCGCCCCCGGCGTCGGGCGCCATGGCCCGAGCCGAAGGCCCCCGAGGCCCCAGAGCGCCCGCGGCCTCTGCGCTTGGCGCGGCCGCCCCAGTAGGAGAAGAAGGCGCAGCCCAGGAACATTCTGAAGCAGCAGGTCGCCCCGAACACGAAGCCACAGCCACGGCCCTGCTCCGTGCGCTTCTGCAGCAGGAAGTTGAGCACCCACGAGGGGCTGCGCACC